AGGGTTACCACCGAGTCTAAAAACTGTACTTCTCGGGGGAACTGGAGTTAATAAGTTTAGTTTACAGACACTGGAAATGTTAAAAGATGTGGAGCTCGTAGACCTCAATAGTTAGTATAAAATAATAATAGAGTAGTCATTAATTAATTAATTAATTATTTTATTTAGAAAATAAATTATCCTGCTACTGCGATGATATCCAGGAAATCTGTGACCGTGAAGATTTACAACGCAAGTTCCCCGGTGCTATATGTCGGGAACCAGTCTCGTATAATAATACTATATATGGCTCGTCATGTTTTGGACCCCTAGCCACTACTCAGACCACTACTCAGACGACTACTTCACCCATACTTTCCTCAATACTGGTCACCAGTGATACCCCAATGCAATCGACATCACAACCTACTGACTCTCAATCTAAACCCACTTCCAGCCCGTGTACACCTGAACCCAGCCCTCAGTATTAGTAAACCTAATACAGTAAAAGCTAATATTTTAAACATATTTTATTCAATACAAATTATAAAATCATTAATAAATAGAGAAATATAATGAGATTGTACTAACAATTATTACGCCACAAGTAGGCATTAAGTAATATTAATCAAATTCATGTTAATACAATAAAATATTTAATTACAATATGCTAAAAAGTGATAAATAAAAAATTTATATACTTATAAAATTAATTTATAAAGATAATTATACATATACTCTGAATATATCTCAAAGTAAAATCATCATATTATTTACACATTATGCTTTCACTTTTGACAAAGTTTCTCGCCAATAAATATTGATAATATCACGCAATTTAATATAATAATTAATGTATTTCACTTAAAAAATAAATTAATAATCTTTCCCAAATAAGGAATATTTGTTATAAAACAAAGTAAAATAATCTTTATAAGAATAATTAAATTAGAATTTTATAAATTAAATTTATTATATGAAATTAATTCATATTATAAAACGATAATAAAACAATTGATTAAATGTACCAAAAGTTATTTGATGTGAACGAATTTTATTTTGTGCTGTATTAATTAAATATTATTTTAAAATGGTGTTAAAGTTCTTAATGTAATATTTTTAGAAATAGTATAAACTTTGTACAGTATATTAAATCAACATTTTACTCGTTAATTATTTACCGGGTTTTAAATATATGTACTAATTTTTATTTGAATTATAATCGTGTAATAAATATTAATCAATATTTTAATTGTTTAAATTTCAATGAATTTTAGTGCATAATTAGATAAAGTACACTAATTTGATAAGAATATTCCGTATTATTAGGCTATAAATATAGGGCTCATGAATATTTATACGTTAGTAACAAAAATCATTTCCAAAATGTTTGTCAAAGTAGCACTGGTATGCTTTTTAGCTGCCTGTCCATTTGTTTGCGAGGCACAGCGACATGGCTGCTACGACAAGCCCACCACAGCTATACCCGGGTGTACCTGTGTATCCCAATGGGTATGTATATATAGTTTTTGTTTAACCCGTTGATAAATACATGATTTCATGTGACCGTGTATATTTTTTATGTAAGTCTGCTACTGACTACGTATACAAAACAGTGGTCACATGTCAGGGTAACGTGGGTGTATCATCGGACTTCCACGACAATTTAAGGAAACTGGAGGGATATAAGATTGATGACTTCATCATCACGGCCTACCCTAACACACGACTACCCGATGAGCCCTTTCCCGCAGATACTAAAACTGAAATCAAGAGGGTCATTATTCAAAACTCACCCAAACTGGAGGGCTTTGGATCCAAGTCTGCCGAAGCGCCTGGATTTCTCAAAAATATAGGCTTAAAATTAAAGTCCCTGGTCATCGCCAATAATCCTGCTGTTAAGGACGATGAATGGAAAAAACTAGCCACGTCACTTGCAGCTGGTACTCCTGAAACCACTGATGGACTCACTACCCTGGTCATTTATAAGCAACCGTCATTTGACGACCTGGATGCGTTCAGTTCATTGAAAAACCTTGAGATTATCGTATTGCGTGGCAATGGGTTCACCACGCTCAAATATGATCTGTCAACCTTCGGGAACCTTCAGCTTCTGGACTTATCCGAGACAATTGGTCTGAAAAAATTTGAGGTGGTTACTAATAGCAAATTCCCAGACACGCTAAAAACATTATTCATTAGTGGTGCCAGTATTGAATCATTTAGCGGTGCAACCTGGGATGAATTAGCTAAATTAGAATTTATTGATTTAAGCAGTAAGTAGTTTAATTATTTATCTATTACACAACAATGTGATTGATCATTTATGTTTTGATATAACGCATTAATTAATGGCATATCACTTCTAATATTACTAGTATATCATGTATTAATTTAAAACTACAATTGATTTATACAGAAAACAAGCTTGATTGTGATTGCGATATGTTGCCTGGTAATTTTGTGAGCGAGAAGAACGAAACGAAATTTCTGGGCTCAACCTGTGGTAAGCCTACTGAGGCTAATAACAAGCCATTTGGCAGCTTCTGTGTGACCACCGATTTTTTCATGTCAATGGACGAAAACAATAGACCTCAAATGTCCAAGCTGTTTTAAAAGTATGATAGACTTAAAGTCCATGTTATACTGGCTACTTTAATATTTGATTAAATTTTTTAACTATTGTTTGTTTAAAATATATTAAAAATAAAATTAATGTTATATTTAGTAATTGTTTATTATAAACATGTCCTACAAAATTAAATTTCAATAAATTCGAATTTAATTAAAACATTTTCTATTGAATTATTTGGGAAAACTGAGTTATTTATCAGGATAATATTGATATTTGAATATAGACAATTTATTACTTTCAAACCTAACATATTATTATGTAGGTTAGGCTGTGCTTTAGGTGTCATGAAATTGACAACTGATTGTTATGTGCTTTTTAACGCTGAAAGTGAATCTGCGGTTAAAATATTTTTGTCTCAATCCGTTCGGGAGATATTCGGGTCAGGAGTTGCCATAGACTCCCATTATAAAAGCGTAACTCACTAATCATTAACCAACCTAACTTACTCCCTAACCTATCAGTATTTTTTCAAACCAACCTAACCTAACCTAACCATACAAATGGTAAGATAATGTAATAAACAATAAGTGGCGCCTCTGGTGAGTGGCCAGTGAGTTACGCTTTTATAATGGGAGTCTATGGCAACTCCTGACCCGAATATCTCCCGAACGGATTGAGACAAAAATATTTTAACCGCAGATTCACTTTCAGCGTTAAAAAGCACATAACAATCAGTTGTCAATTTCATGACACCTAAAGCACAACCTAACCATTATGTATGTAATAAAATTGAGCTGGTGAAATTTGTTTTAGATAAATAGTTTATTTTAATTATAATTAACAGAAAATAATTACATTGTATTCTGTATTAAAAATTCCATGTAATTCAAGACTAACAGACGATTAGTCTATTAAAATAAATGCAATTTGTTTTAACAATTTATTGTGATTTCTTGTGAATCCTTGATCTTCGTTATGATATCATCTCATAAATGTTGATTCATATGAAAACAAATTATATGAGTACGGTGTGAACATATCATTAATTTGTCACAAATTGCATTTAATGATTTTGTTTAAGACTTCATAAATATTTTACAATACCTAATAAATTAAATCAAATTACAGATTATTAAATGCAACTTTGATACAATGTAAAGACTTTATACAACCCTGGAGATAACAGTAAAACTTTTTATTGCTAATAAAAGTGTTTGTTTTGATTATTAACCCACAATAAGTAAATGAAAAAAACTATCATTGCTAAAGATTTAATAAAATTATATAAATGCCAAAAACTTTTTAAAATCGTAGATTATGTCTACTTAGCACTTAGCACATTTGTATTACCGGTAATATTTTTTAACAGCCTTCCCTTTCCTTTTAAAACCCTAGTCTAAAAACTTTACTTCTCGAGGGAACTGGAGTCTACAGACACTGGAAATGCTAACAGATGTGCAGCTCGTAGACCTCAATAGTTAGTATAAAATAATCAGAATATTAATTAACTAATTATTTATTTTATTTAGAAAATAAATTATCCTGCTACTGCGATGATATCCATGAAATCTGTGACCGTGACGATTTACAACACAAGTTCCCCGGTGCTATATGTCGGGAACCAGTCTCGTATAATAATAACTAATACTACTGTATATATGGCTCGTCATGCTTTAAATTCCTAATTATTACTCAGACGACTAGTTCACCGATACTATCATCCAAACTGGTGTCCAGTGATACCCCAATACAATCGACATCACAATCTACTGATCCTAAGTCTGCCCTGTTAACCCTGTTAACAAGTTAACCCTGAATTAGCAGAGTCTATACCCGAACCATCAGTATTAGCGTAATAATAATAAATAATATTTTAAGTGCATTTAAGATTAGAATTGAAAATTGAACTGAGACAATTTAATATAATTAATATTAATGAAATTCACTCATGAAACACTTGATTAAGCTTTCCCAAATATGGAGTATTTTTAAAATGTTTATACAATGTAAAACTATTTTTATTGAACATTGAATTAATATTTCTTAATTTATTATACGCAATTAATTTATAATTTTATGATATAATAAAATAATTTCATAAAAATACATTTTGTACTTGATGGGAAACTATTTATTTAATAAACTCTAAGAATTAACAATGATTGAAAATAGTTTTATAATTTGCAATTTACTCTATAATTCAAAAATTAATTAAAATTGTAATTTACTTAATACACATATTTTTTGTTAATAATACAGTTAATACTAATTGTTAATTGAATTATGATCGCATAATAAATATAAATCAAATTTTTATAATTACATTAATTAGGCATTTCAAAGAATTTTTAGTGCAAGATTAGATAAAAATTATTCATTTGATAAGAATATTCCGTACAATTATGCTATAAATCCAATGCCACAGAATCGTATTGAGTCAGTCACTAAAGTTATTTGCAAAATGTTTGTCAAAGTAGCACTGGTATGCATTTTAGCAGCCTATCCTTACGTTTGCGAAGGGGCCAGGTATGGCTGCTACGCTAACCCCACATCTGCTATACCCGGGTGTAGCTGTACATCCCAATGGGTAAATATAACATTAAATTAGTAGCTAGTGTATTTAATTTGTTTAATTTGTAGGTGGCCACTGACTACGTCTACAAAACTGTGGTAACATGTCAAGGGAATGTAGGTGCATCGTCGGACTTTAAGGATAACCTACGAAAACTAGATGGATACAAAGTGGACGACTTTATAATCACGGCCTACCCTAACACCCGACTCCCGGAGGAGCCCTTCACAGATAAAACCGAAATCAAACGAATCATTATTCAAAACTCACCCAAACTGGAGGGGTTTGGTCCGAAGGGTGGAAAAGGGATTTTCGCCAATTTAGGAAAATCATTGAAGTCATTGGTGGTGGCAAATAACCCGGCTATTCGTGATGACGAATGGGCTACTATTGCTACGTCGCTCGCAAATGGGGGCACAGATGACCCTGAAGAAGACCCTGGAAAAGCTGCCGGCGATGTTGTACTCAATAACCTGGTCATTCAAAAGCAAACATTGTTTGACGACCTGGATGCGTTCACCGCATTGACCACCCTAGAAATTCTTGTATTACGCGGCACTGGATTCACCTCGTTCAAATATGATTTGACTGCTTTCACAAACCTCCAAGTCCTGGACTTATCTGAGACACCGGCGCTGAAAAAATTTGAATTATCCGCTGCACTTCCCGCCAATTTGAAAACAATATTTCTTAGTGGCGGCAGTATTGAGACAATTACGACGGCTTCCTGGACATTCTTACTTGCGGCTGATTTTATTGATTTATCAAGTTAGTATTAAATCAATTTTATTAAATATCCTATGCGGCCACAGTAAACAAACGGTTTACTTCAACTCTGCTTTCATATGAGTCATAAGACTGTATTCATACCAAACAGTACAGTAAGATTAAAGCGAAGATGAAGTATGCGTTTGTAATAACTGAGCCTAAAAATGGATAATTAATTTTACCAATTTATATAAGTTGCTACGATTTAATGTGACACAAACTATGTATAAACCAAAATGTTTGTAATTGGATAGAGAGTGCGAACCTGGACTGCAACTGCGATAACCTTCCCACAGGTTTTGTGAGCGAAGCCAATGAAAAGAGATTTTTGGGGGCGACTTGTGGTAAACCAGATGCGGCTAAGGCTAAGGCGTTTGGCAGCTTTTGCGTACAGACTGATTATTTCATGTCCATGGCTGCTGATGGCAAACCGCAAATGTCCAGGTTGTATTCAAAATTGCTATAGACTTACAGTTTGTGATAAAGAGTCTCTCCGGAGATTTCAATAATTTGTTATTTTGTTTTATTAAAGTTTTACTAATAAAATTATGTTATGATTATTAGATGTTTATTGTAAGAATAGTTATTAATTTGATAAAATTATGTACAGTATGTAGTTCAAAGTATGTTTTAAAAACAATAAATTGCGATTATGATTTAAACGTTATTTTGTAATGCATAAATAACTTTTTACTATATTTTTGCAAATTAAATAATACAAGTATTAACTAGTAATTAATATTTTTTTTATAAAACTCAATTAAATATTAAAATAATTTTTTACAATTTTTTACAAAAAGGGTTTGGTATGGTTGTTATGAAATTTGCCCTCTTTAAAAGCATAACAAAATCATAATTGTAAATAAATTATTTTATTTAACCTTTTCTCTTAAAATAATTTCATATGCTTTTGGATTATTACTGTCCACTATATCCGGGTCAGTATCTATACCGGAGTTACGGCCGAGTATTAGGTCGTAGTCTTGAGTCGACTGCAGAAATCTGACCAAAACTAGGAAGAGGTCAGCGATGGCTAACTTCTCGCCCAAACAAACACGTCGTCCCACACCGAACG